CTGGACAGCATAAAACAGTTGTCTGGACCTACCTGAGCCATTTTGGATCATATGGGTCTCCATTTTCGAGAATTAATTGCCACTGTTTGCGGTGAAGTTGTAGTAACCAACCAGATGGTACAGGTTTCATGAAAGTACAAAAGTACTGCTCTATGGTAACATAAATACTTCTGTTGCACTTAAAACAAACAAACAAAAAAAACCAACCAACAGATTTAGAGCATGGATTCATTCAAATAGCATTTAGAAATGTATTTTTTCTTCACCTCCCTTTTAAGTAAATAGGCTTCTCGTAACTAAACTGCTATCCTAAACTGCTGTTTGATTTTATTATTCTGAGGAAACTTAGATGTTACAAATGAGACAATGTGACTTGCTTCCTTGAGACCCTGTTTTGCTTTCATAATATAAATAATTTGGAAAAAGAAATCCTTCACTGTAGTTCAAAGGTTTTTAAATTGCAGTGATTGGAAGGAGGCTTGTTACTAACATAATGGTCAGTCTTGTGAAACATTTATTTTAGAGTAATGCTGTTTCTTCACTGATAATATTTGATGTGAAGAATACAAAGGAAATCCTTGGTATGGAAAAGTTTGGACTCTGTGTTGGGAGTGGTGTCAAAATCTTCATTCTTTTCATTTTTCCTGGTTTTAAATTTCATGGAATAAGATAAGGAAATTAAAGAGAACTGATAAGGTTTTATTCATACTAACATTTTTATTATGTCTGCTCTTCTCATCTGGTAGTAAAACTACCAATTGTTTGTGTGTTTAGGATGTACTGCTGATATTAGAGACATTACTAGTTTTCTCCTTCACCTTTTCTCAAAGTCTTTCATACAGTTATAGGTTACCAACTTAAGAATATATTTTTATTGGCTGCTATACTCCGTTTTTTTGTTGATGAAGACACCATGACCTCTGGCAAAATTTGCAGTCAATTCTTAATTTCTTCCCTAGAGTTCTTTGCTTGTTAAGGCCCTGGTTACCTATAAATTATATATCTTTGGAAAAGATGAATTAATTCTGCTTGTGTGCCAAGATGTCCAGAGGCCATGTTAAAGAGAGTGCTGAGTTTAAGTTAATATTTGCTGTTTCTTAGCTGGATTTATTTGGTGAGACTCAGCTACGTCACATCATGTTATCTGGTGTGCGGTTGGCCTTGATGATAGAGGGTGCTTTCATCTTGATGTGAATTGCTACATATGTCCCTTCTCTTCTGGAAAACAGTTCTATTCCTTACTTTGGATTTTTCTGTTGCAAGTAACAAGTGAAATTGTTCACTGCTCCTTTTATCTTGGGAGTTTAAGTGACCTTTTGTAGTTTCCAAGAACTAGGTTATTAGATATTTTAAAGACCAGGGTCTTGTCCCTTACTTAATATTAGAAGGAGTTAATACATTCAGTGAAAGAAAAATTCATGGAGCTTTTAATAGCACAGTACAACTCCTTTAGGGCTTGCAGGTTCATGCGTAGGAAAATTATGTTGTTTAAACTTAGGTATTAGAGCATGAGAGTAAGGAAGCTATTTACCAGGGGCAGCCCAATAGATCCTAGAGAAGCACAGAAAAACTGCAAACGTACCAAGAAGAGTGAAGTTGATTGTGTCTCAAAGATATTTCTCCTTTACAAATCACATTCACTTGGCTTAACTGTGGATTCTTATCTTTGAGGGATAATCTACATAGCTAACATTGAAGAATACGAAGGGTATCTTGAGTGTAATTAGCATTGGATAATATCTGCACTATTAAGAACATTTTTATCCTTATGTGTACTGAGAAGGAAAGAAAAAATCCTCAAAAAAATAAAAAATGAGGCCTACATTTCCAAATTGAATTCACTTGTGCCCTAGAGTCCTAAAGCATATATACCTGCATGAGTCGTAAAGCAGATATTAGCCATAATTGGTAGTTTTACTACCAGCCATAATTAACACATAATTGTTCTGTATTGTCAGTTCTTTTCCACACTTCCAATGACTATTTTTTGTTTGTGAACATGCTGTGTTGTTGTTTTGTTTTTTTTTTTCCCCCTTTTTGTTTAGCTTCAAGGACGGGTGAGTGCATCCTCTATGAACAGGAAGTGCAGGGGAGAGATACAAACTTCAGTGTAGCACCAGGAATAAGACTTTCAAATGCCAACTGAATTAACAATTTATTTCAGTTGTGGTCTTTAATTATTGTTTATATTCTTGTTTTAATAAATATCCATGATATTTCAGTTCCATATTGTCTATTTCATGAGACTAAAATTAATATTCTAAGGATTTCAAAGCCAATAGAACCATTTTAGACACAAAGTAAAGCTTAGCTCTCCTCTTTTCAGTTCAGGTTTTCTGAGTTGTATTAACTACCATCTTTTATTATTCAGTTGATCAGCTTTCAGTAAGAGCAAACAGTTTGAATTTATGCCCATAAACAAGCAATTCTTTTTCTCATTTGTTTCTGTTATTTTTTTACCTGCCTTTGTTTGGATGACAATTAAAGAATATTTTCTCTTCATGTTCTTTGTTGCCTTAATTACTTTCATTGTCAACACCATGATTTAGTTCTAATGAGAACCCATTTGTTCCTCCTTTTTACCACATCCTTCAGTGTGACTGTAATGATCTTCAGCACATTATAGAAAGATTTCTTATGACTTCTTTGGATGAGATGAACGCTTTGCAAAACCTCTGTTACCGTAGGAAGTGATCAGGTGAATGTCTTTTAAGATCAAATATCACTAAGTAATTTTGCCTGCCAGTCTACTAGCTTCTTGCAGCATTCTTCTGCCTTTTGGCTCTCATCACTCTTAAAACAGAAGGTTCTCCTAATAGGAGATGACTTGTGCATGCTTATTCTTTAATATTTTTAGATCTTCTAAGTTGCTTTGAGTAAGCTGTGATCTCTGAGGTACTCCAGGATTTCTTGATAATGTGTGTATCGTTATTCTCTGAGATTACAAGTTAATCAAACTGCACACAGTTATTATGCATTCACTCAAGGCGGGCAATACATTATCTGCCTCCCAGTGGCAGAGTATTCTTCCTGCTATCAGGAAGCCACAAATGAGGGTTATTTGTCATCTTTGGAAATATACAGCTCCATGGAGAGCAACAGTGTTAGAATTAAACCCTGAAATAAAATGTAAAAATGGCCTTATTTCTTAGATTTTAGGATATGTATAGAATAGCTCTGCTAGTTTATGTTACTTGGTTGATAATCATGGAATCATAATGACATAATTTGAAAGAACTTAATTCTCAGATTAAACAGTTTGTGATTTATCAACCATATTTTTAGTATATATTATGATTAGCATTTTTCACTAACAACTGTTCCTTGTGGGGTATACTATCTTATGTTGCATGTATGCTAGGGTTTTTATTTGTAACAGTAGCACAGTTCTGTTGTGCATACTTGTCTCTTGTACTTACTGTAGGTCTTCCACTTTGCTTGCTTACTGGATTTCAGAGTTAGGCCAGAGATTTATTTCCTCTGAAACCTAAGTATTCATCAAACACACTCTAAGGTCTAAACCAGCAACTGGTCTTTCAGACAGCTTCAGAATACATTGTAGAATTGCAGCACTGAATAAGATGCCAGACGTGATCATGTTCAGATCGATGTATGGTTGTAGATGAAGAATCCTGAACACAACTTATTTCCTGAACTGTTGCTTTTGTTCTAAACTGCTTGCTAGCGGAGGTGTAACCTTAGAAGCAGGGGTGAATGTTTTAGCTTGTGTCACCATATAGTCGTATTCAGCCCTCCAGTCGTTTTTTAGCATAGGTAAATCATTTATTGAATAAGGAAGAATACTGACAAAGTAGTCGTGCTACCTCTGTGATTGGAGAGCTTCATTTAAACGGTCCTTTTATCCTTGACAACCTAGAAATTGAGGCAATTTCAGAGTATACTAATGAAGACTTGAATATTGTGTAATTATTGTGTCAAGTTTCTCAGGACAGAGTAAAAATGCAACTTGAGGCAAAAACATTTGTTGTGGGGGTCAATTGGATTTAAAACTAATACTGTCTTTCATTTTTCAGATAAAACTGTACAGTCAGGAAAATACTTGTGTTTTTATCTTTTGTCCAACTGAACTGGCTCAGAGATGGTCCCATTTTTTTCTATTGTTGTTGGTTTTGTTTTTTTTCTTTTTTGATCTGTATGATACATTTTTCTCTGTTTATGGCTTCATGATATTCATGGATGCTACTGTTCCTCAGCCCCAAGGACAAACTGAAAAGATGTTAAATTGTAAAGTTTCTGACCTTGGTGCATTTTCTGTACATGAACAGAAGAGTTAAGACAGTGACAGAGGGTTTGGAGGAACAAGAAATCTAATATTTCTCAAACAGAGTGGAATGACTGCAAAGAAAGCTTTTAAGAATGAAGGCTACACAAGCTAATTTGTAACTGATAGTATGAGTTATATGCAGATTCATTCAGATTGCTTGAATTAACTCTTAAGGGTGTTGTTTTTTTTTTTTTTTTTTTTTTAGAACAATTTTGTTTGGTTTAATGAAAACCATTATTAAATCATTAGTCAATAAAAATAGTTATTTTGTGCGTGTGTTTGTGTATATATATTACTGCATTTAGATATGAAAGCTGCCCCCAGAATAATGCCTCCTATTCTGTTATGTTGGTATGGTAGTAGGGATTGCTGTTTTTCAGCAATGGCAACAGCAACATGAAAGATAGGCCACTTTTAAGATGGCCATGCAGCTGTAATGTCACAAAAGGAAGAACATCTCATTCAGCTCACCTGCACAAATTAGCTAATGGTGATGACAATGTTGAAAACTAATGTAGATGACAATTTGCTCTATCAAATGGTGTTATTTTATTCTTTGTATCTGTTGTTGTTTCCTTGGAAATAAATAGGAAGCATTACTTTTGGAGCAACCTGTATGCCATTATTAATCATTAAATAATAAATGTTTCAGGATTATATATGTTTGATTAAAGTGCTCCAATCTCTCTTGGTAATTTTTCTACTTTTCTTGCAGGTTGTATATAAAAATAATGATGTCAGGTTGGAGTTATCTCGACTTGCCAAGCAAGGAGATCCTAAGATGAAGATTCATGGGGTAGTAGCGTTTAAATGTGAGAATGTTGCAACCTTAGATCCGATCACATTTGAAACACCAGAGTCTTTCATTTCTTTGCCAAAGTGGAATGCCAAGAAAACAGGCTCAATATCATTTGACTTTCGTACAACTGAGCCAAATGGTTTGATTCTTTTCAGTCATGGAAAGCCAAGGCACCAAAAGGATGCCAAACACCCACAGATGGTGAAAGTTGACTTTTTTGCCATTGAGATGCTTGATGGCCACCTCTACCTGCTGTTAGACATGGGATCAGGTACTATAAAAATAAAAGCGTTGCAGAAGAAGGTGAATGATGGTGAATGGTACCATGTGGACTTTCAAAGGGATGGACGGTCAGGTAAGTCTTCCATTTTAATATTCATTAGGTCTTTTCTTGTTATATCTGACAGAATGCTGGCTATATATAGTGCTATATACAAAGTTGCACATTGTCTGAAAAGCGAAGGAAATATAAACAGTCATTAGTGTCAGGTACCGGAATATAATGACTTCCAGAGTAACATATCTTATATTAACGTTCATTGGGTAATCAAATATTTAAACTTGCAAGTAAACCAAATAGCCAGAGTGGTAAGTTTCAAGATAAAAAATCAAGCAAAAAAGAATTACTGTAAGGAATCTGCCAAATTGGGAATTATCTGCCCTTAGAAACAGCATAGACCTTCCATTCATATCAGCAAACTTCATCAAAATTAAATAGTATGCTAATAGGTGGCTGACAATACATACCAGCATAAACTAGAGTTATATCAGTATGGTTTGTATTCTATAGTATTTAACTTGAGAAATGATCTCCCCAGAAATGCTAAAAACAAAACTTTAAACTGTTCCTAATGATACTAAAATTTGTCCCAGCTTGTAATGTCTTTAAATGGCTGTTCTTGTGTTGATGCTACATCTGATATTGAGTGTATATATATTGGCCTGAGCAACGTGCCAGGATTTATCAGGTTTTTTTGGGGAGAGATATACCGAGCCTGTTATTTAGATCATCAAAGAATTTTCTGATCAAGATCAGTATTCTACCTGAAGTTTATATACACTCTGAAATTGCATGTTGCAAAAGTAAACTTCCCTGTCTCTTTTGTTTTTTGTGGCTTTTCCCCACTACATCCTGATGACTCCTTCTGACTGATTTGCATTTTTAATTGATTTTTGAATCTTTATCCTTGAAACACTCATTTTTTTAAGTGACTTTCTAAATATAAACAAATTAAGCAAATTTAAGTGTAGTTTTAAACTGAAGATTTCAGTCAAATCCATGCTAAAGGCTGACCAAATTCAATCATTCAACCTACTATAGAACTGTTAAAAATACTGATTTGATTCCTGGTTTTGGAGCTTGAAATTTAAGTTGTATAGAGCCTGATTTTCTGATTACATGTTGGTTAGGTTTTTGTTTTCCTAGAGGTAAAAAACAAAAAATAAATCTCAAAAACCTCAATTGTGATTGAGTATCCAGTGATTACATTATTTACACTACAGCCTTCATTTCAGGCTTCCTCCTTCAGTGCTGTTTCAGTGATTCGTATGAGATATAAATCCTGTAATAATGTGCTTCTGTGAGTCTTCTTAAAGCAAAGTTTATTCTTATATTCTAAGCCATATTTGAAGAAATGTTCTGCATTTCTGCTTAGCTAAATACTGTAGCTCATGACTGCCATTAAGAGATTTTAGGATCGGTTTTATTTAAATTATTAGAACTGTTGGAGGAATTTGGCAAGAATGCATAATAATTTTAGGAAGTAATAGTCACTTAAAAATCAGATTTTTGTCTTATCTTTAAGTAGAATTATAAGTAGTCAAATATCTATGTGTAAGAAAAAATAATCCAACTGATGAATAAATAGCCTGGATAGGCAAACTTTATTTACCATGCTACTCATTCAAATCATCATATCACCTACTTGCCCTTACACGTGGAATTATTACCAGGAATACTGAATAAATATGTGAACTTATTGACCGGTATTTGAATTTTTATCTAAAATCTGAACCAGTCATCAAAAGCGTTCTGTAATTTTAAATACATACAATAACATTTTACAGTGTGACAGATAACAGTGGCAAGCTGTTATTATTCTTAATGAAAATACTGCCAGACCAGTATCTTAAACCATCAGATTTAACCAAGTTAAATTACTGCCTGATGATAAAAATAATCAACGTACTACATGTTGCATTTTTCTGATTGAAACAAATTATATTGATATGTTCAAATTATTTCTTCATGACTTATGCATGTACATCTCCTATGTCTTTTTCGTTGAATAATAAAATTCCTCTTAATATTCCAGGAAGCTTTTTCATTTCTTTTCTCCATCCCAATCCAAATATGAATCCAATCATATGAATACGATCACTTTCATTTACTTACATTCAGATTTTCATATAAGTGAATGAATATATGGTATATATTAAAAAAAAAAACAACTCAGCTTCTTCTAAGCTTTCTTGTTGCTGCTGATAAAATACTTCCAGCCTTTCAAATAGAAAGGAAGAGATTCTCCTGCTGATCAATAAATAGCTCAAATAATCTTTTTTTTTTTTTTTTTTTTTTTTTTCCCAAGTGAAGTTTGATGTTTTGCAGCCTTTTACTCCCAGCCTTCAAATCAAATGCATAGTGACTCCCTCAGATAATAGAAAGCTGTGACATTTCTCAAGGAGCTTTGCTGATTTCCTTGACTTTAGCATTAGCTGGATCAGCAAGTACTCAATTTAGTTTTCATTCTTTGCTCTCTTCTGGACTCTTAGTCACAAGGAGCATCTACTCTATACTACAGACTTTGTCGTGACCCTGCAGAATCCCGCCATGCTTCCTGTAAGTCCTTCTCTGAGTGCTTCCTTACATGAAAAGCAGGTTTTTGGAACAGCGATTTCTGAGCCCAATGTTAAGCAAGTCCGCCTCTTTTGCTAGATATGCAACTGAGGAAAAAGGAACACACTTTGACCAGCAGCCTGTATGCAGCACAGGACACAACCTGTGTTACATCCTGCCATGTAAGATGGGTTCCTCCCAGCACTCATGTCTGATTTTCTGCGAAGGACAGTAACATCACAGCTGCTTCTTTTGTGCCATGACTTGGCTGCATGCTGTGGTCGCAGTCCTCATGACAGATACTGTGTTATGCTTTAGCACACAATGTGTGAAGTGTTTCTAGAAAACCATACTCTTCTCTTAGGTTTTTTTTTTTTTCACCATTTCTTAATATGCAAAGACAAGTGTTTCATGCATCTGAAAGGTAACTAAATAGACCAGACGAGGTAAGCATGGAGATCAGAATAGCTGATCATTTTTTTAAGCTGATCAGAACTGGTGAGACATGATTTAGAAATGTTTTAGTTCCTTATACACGCACTTATGAAAAACTAAATTGCTGAGATAATGAATATGATTGAAGACGCTCATTAACTCATACCTAAGGGAAATGTTTTTCTGTTCTGCTGTTAACAGTAATGTCAACTCTGCAGTTAAAGAAGAAAAAAAAAGCTAAAACCATGAAACAGCTGTGAAGGTCTTTGCTGTTTTCTGTGGTAGTTTAAATTAGGCTAGTAAGTGGATTCTGAGGTTTGAGTATTGTTTAAAATTTCCGTAGACTTTGCCACATTTGCCATACTCAAGGATAACCCTTACATACTTTTTTACTAAACTGCCATATATCCTTGGGAAATCATCATTACACAGTGAAATCAGAAAAGAAACTTACCATTCTGGTCAATGTCCAACCGTGTATAGCAATGTAAAAGCGTATCAGAACACACTCATGAATAAGTAGCATGTAAGGGTTAAGAAATCTCTGAAAATTTGAAGTAAAGTTAGAGTTACAGTTTAAATACCAGACATTATCTCTAGAGTACGAAATTAGAGCTTGGATGTAATTAATATCTCTAAGTCGTACATTGTAGACATCAATTATGTGTATTGTTGTTGGGAGTTCTTTTTTTCACACATACGTTTCTTTGCTGTCCTTCCTCCCTATCTTTCCAGCGTTCTAAGAAATGCCAGATTTCAATAAGTGCTAATAGTTAGCATATTTGGGACACTGGGTTTACCTCACATTTGATCCAACGATTGTCTTACTGCTTTTCAGTCATCTGTAAGCTCATAGTAAAAAAAAAGAAAAAAGAAAAAAAAGAAAAAACAGTGATCCTCTGAGACGTCCTCTGTTTAAACCCTTCAACAACCACAGTAATAATGGGACTGCGTCAGTCTTGACAGATAATTGTTATCTCCGTCAGTGAACACTGTACAACCTTCCCATTCCATCCAAGATGAATCTTTCCACGTATGAAAAAACACAAATTGTTGGTAATGTCCTTGTTCACAGCAGGCCTAACACAGTGACTTTTTTTGTATGGTGTAGATCTACTTTTTATGATTCGATGCTGTTGTTACGCTAGCCTTCAGTTTCCTTTAGAGATTAAGGCACAACTTCCACTCACTGTCCCTATGTATCATGTTCTGTAGCCTTTGACCATTTTCATTGCCACCTTCTGCAGCCTTCTCAGCTGATCTGCATCATATTCAGAGTTCTAGGTAAACCTGACCCGTGATTAGTAGAATGGTAAGATAATCTTCACTATACCTCCCAATATATTTCCAAGTTTGCTTACTTTTACATTGTTACTTCCTTATGTTGTTGATTTTTCCTTTTTGAAGAACTGCCTGTTAATCAGTTACTCTTTGTAAGTAAGCAGCTCTTGCTGGAAATCACAATCTTGTTATTTTTTTTTTAGGTGTGTGTGTGCAATATACAAAGATGATTCTAAATGTTTGAATTGCATTTTGCTCTTAGGTGAAATACTGTAGAATCGTTTCAGCTGTAGGTCGTTGTAAGGGCCATTAATTTATCTACAACTTCTAGAGGATAGGGCATTATACCTGGCTTCAGAGTCCATTATTTCATGAATCTGGGGACTAAATAACACCCAACACCTTACCGTCTTCACAGAATCTTCCCCTTTTTCCTTCTTTCAAGCAAATCAAATGCTATTAGCTTTTTTTCTTTGCTTTTTTGGCAGAAATATTATTTTCCACCTTCAGCATTAAAAAACAAACAGCAACAACAACAACAACAAAAAAACACACAAAAAATACTTATGCACAGAGACTTCCTATTTCCTGGCACAAATTTTTACCTTGGTGTTGCTCCTTTTAAAGAAATAGTACAGTATCACTACTGGTTATGATTGCCATTATGCTAGGTGCTTTGCGAATATGTAACAAAAATGATAGCTCTTAATACAGAGATATTATGATTTAAGGTAATAGTTTTCTCTTTCCATGGAGAGGCTCTTCGTCATATTCTGTTGTTTTAAGTTATTTTGTAAAACTATATATGCCCCATTCTTATCTCTCTTCTACAACTAAACGATTCTGGTGAGAGATGAATTGACACTGAATTATCTTTATAGAACAAGTTATTAACCTGCTCTTGTGTTAACACCATAAGGCCTTTGTCTATTCCATTAGCTTCCCTTCTTTCTGCTTTTCTGAAAAGTGAGCTCATTTCACAATTATAAGTGGAAACATCCATATGGCTTTCTGTACAATGGTGCTTTGACAGTGCAAATGTTATTCATCTCTGTATGTTCCCCAGAGAAGCTTGGACTGAAATGCAGCAAAGAGTGTATGTTTGTGTGTCTTCTTATCTCAGGATTCTGTGGGAATCATTCAGTGTTGTTGTATGGTCCACACTGAGATGGATTTTGGTAGAATTTGGAAAACTTCTATAAAGTGAGATGTCAGTCTTTAAAAAAACAAAACAAAACCATTCAGCTACTCTGTCACAGTGTGCCACGGTTCTGGATGCACTGTGGATTCAAGAGTTCAAAGATCCTCTACTTATTTTGTATATGCTGAAGCATTATGAACTTGATTTTTGCATTTTAGTTCAGGATATTAAAAAAAATTAACACCACAAAACCCAAGAACAACAACAACAACAATAAAAACACAATAAAGCACATGTAACTTTTGTATTGTATTTGGGAGTATTTTTCCATTCTTCTTAACGTGTCTTTTTTTTTTCCACTCACTTTTACAAACCAACTAGTGGATAAAATTTGTATTCCTTATCAATATTATCTATAAACTGTGCTGTTGGATACCAATAGCGGTGATGGTTGTATGGCTGCCTGCTCATGCTGTTTAGAAGTTCAGCTAGAAACCAAGATGCTAGTTAACTGGTACTGTGAAACTCTTGGTGTTTAGGTATGAGTTTCTTGCTGTTAGCTAGATTAAAGCTATTTGTATTGTAGTTATAGGTTTTGTTTTAGTCAGTGTGCTATATGATATTTTGGTCAAGCTCCTCTGTGACAACTGAGGCAGAGCAAGTTTCACAAGTTTTGAATCAGCTGCAGGTGCTTCTTGACTTAGTTTAGCTCTTAACAAAAAGGGTTCAAGGAAATAAAAGTAACAGTTGTCTCAACAAGTCACTTGTGCAGTACATCAGCGGTTGTTGAAATGTCCAGCAGTAAATTTGAGATGGTCCAACCAGGTGACGTATTCTGAGGCCTTCCAGAACATAATAAAAGGTCTCCAGAAGATTTATTTCTTAATTTATTATTCTACTCGTGGTCATGGGTAGATGCCATGTTTACACTGATTTTGAAGTCTTCTCCCAAGAGTATGTGATATTTTTTCTTCAGGAGAGGAGAGGTTTGTTTCTTTTATACGTTGTTGCTATCTATTCAAAATACAACGTGAGCTTTCTCTAGTGTAATCCTTATAAGATAACAACAAAGTTTTTCTGCTTAGCTGTAATTTACAGTCATCAGGGTACAGCAGTAGCCTACGATTTGGGAATCTGTTTTGTAGGAACGCTTATTGTTCACATCACATTTTGAACCTCAGCTACATTGTCTCAGATTTGCTTTTCTCTTACTGTTTATTGGAATGCATCAAGATTGTTTATTTTATAGCAGTGGTGCCCAAGGTATCTTCTAGCATCATGGATAGCTTGAAAAAGCTAGATGTGGTCACTAGTAGAAAGTAGCACTATGCAATTGGATGAGCTTGTGGCTGGAGATTGTACATATTTGGAGTTCTGCAGCTCACTGAATTTGTGTGGATTCAAGTGATGTGTGAACATAGATTTAAAGTACTTGGTCTTAAATTTGCCTGAGCAGAAACAGGTGAAAATAAGCAGCAGTAGCAGTGAGAAGTATTGTGAGCATCTTTAGCTTTTTTAAAGGAGAAATGGTCTATTCTACAGGCATGCCAAATTTTGCTTTAAGAATCTCAGCTGGACTAAAAATTTTTGTAACGTAACACAATTGTCCTACAGATTTTAAAAATTGGAGGTCTAGGGAGAGTAAAAAAAACCACAGAACCTTGGTTCAATAAGCTTGGTTTTTACAACTAACACTGAAATTTCACTTTGTGATTATGATAATACATTAAAAGGGAAAACTGAGAGTATACTCAAACATTCTTCAAACATGCATATAAAAATGCAGAAAGCTGCGCAAATGTTTGTTTTCTCTTTTTCAGTCCCTTTGGATACTAAGGAGATTGTAGCAGTATCTAGCCTTTCTAAAATCTATACATCACAAGCCTCATGTGGGAGGCAAGCCTCATGAGAGTTCTGCCCCAAGAGGTTTAACTAAATGTCCAAACTGTTTAGGTATTCATTCTGTCCTTACTCTTGAAGGCAGGCTGTCAAACCAACAAAAGAAGCAAAATATATAGCTCCCACAGGACTCCATTGCAGGAGAAGAAGCCAGATTTTAAAATTGTATCCATGTTAGAGAGTTGTCATCTTGTTAGACCTCTCTGCTTGCTTAAAACTTTCATTTTAGGATTTATGCTCTTAAAATTCCAAATTTATTATATTCACTCACCACGCTTGACACAGTGAAGGCATATTTGATAATCAGTGTTATCTTCTGAAATCTCTATATTATTAACTGTGGAAAGATAATTTTTGCGTATGTACGTATGATCAATACTCTGTGGGAGATGTGATTCCTGAGTGTCTTATCATTAAATATTTAAAAGTGTGTCCAGTGGGTAAGTCCACTTACTCGCTGTGACTGGTCCATTGTATTCACCTAATAGTGTACATAGTGTTTTGGTTTATATTTTGTTTGTTTCTGCACTGTTATAGAATTGTGAGGAGGTACTTATGTGAGCATCTGCATAAGGATTCCTTTTTCAACTGATTTTGTAAACCTAGTACATAAAACGTGATTGGCATAAGTGTGCTCTCTCATTCCATGCACTAAATTGGGGTTTCTGCCTATTCTGCCTAGTTGAAAAAGTTGATACCCTTATTATTTTTGAAAATACAGCTTCTTTACAGAGGATCTTTACAGCTGATTATCTGTTTTTTTCATTATTTTACACATAAGAAAATCTCTGCTGTCTTTGTTCAGATATTTTGTAGAAGCGGAATTTTATTTTAGCCTTTATTTGTTTATTTTTTTAACTTAAACAGAAAAGATTTCTGATTTCCTCAGATTCTATATACTTCCTCTCTCCCTCTCTTTGTAACATGCACGCATTTTGAGGTAAGTGTCAGAGGCATTGATTTTTCCCTCTAGGAGCACATCGCTATCTTCTTAATGATTGCCTGCCTGGCAGCTGACGAGTATTTTTCTCCTGCACTTAATGGAGAAAAGAAATAAAAAGTCTTTCTCAAAGTCCTCTTTAAAAATGCTGTGTCTTTGGATTCAAACCAAAGGCAGATTTGCCTCTCAGTTTGCAACCTATCAATGAAAACTCAACCTCAGTGCTCTGAATCACCTGAGAGGCAGTGAAGAGTTTTTCCTTGCACAAGCCAGGGTATATCTGCAAATAAGTCTGAAATGCATTCCTCCTGCTCCCTCAAGATTGGTAAGGAGATTTTGACTTCTATCTGACATGAGCATGCAGGAATGCTATAAATGTATCTATTATTTTGTAATTATATAGAAAGCTTATGTATCCCTATATACATCTATGGATATTTGCCAGGAATTAATGCAATGCTTAGATTAATGAGATAAACAACAGTACCAAGATCCTTAAATGTCTTGAAAATTTTACATTTTGTTTTCATTTCTTCTCAGGAACCATATCTGTGAACACGTTACGTACACCATATACTGCACCAGGGGAAAGTGAAATCCTTGACTTGGATGATGACTTGTATCTTGGAGGCTTACCAGAAAATAAAGCAGGCCTGGTCTTCCCAACAGAGGTGTGGACAGCACTTCTCAATTATGGATACGTCGGCTGCATTAGAGATTTATTTATTGATGGTCAGAGCAAAGACATTCGACAGATGGCTGAAATTCAAAGTACAGCTGGAGTAAAACCCTCGTGCTCGAGAGAAACTGCAAAGCCATGCCTTAGCAATCCCTGTAAAAACAATGGTGTATGCAGGGATGGGTGGAACAGATACGTTTGTGATTGCTCTGGGACAGGGTACCTTGGCAGATCTTGTGAAAGAGGTAAGTTTCTTGAGATGACTGCGTTTCTACTTTAATGCATATGCAATTATTAAAATGGTAAATCATCACTGATTCTTGTAAGGCAGAAGTCTCTTTCATTTCATTTGATGGAGACAGAGCCCTGCTCTGGAAGAAGTAACACTCTAGGAGAGACCTGCATTGACTTCAAGTTGTGTAGGTACTGGTTGACCTTGACAGAGAGTTGATAGCTGCTAAATGTCTCTTGGAAATTGCCTCTCCTTTTTTTCATTGTGCATTGATGAGTTATGAAAAGTTTTGCAAAAGTAATTTCAGTTATTACTGCATTACTAAATACACATTTCTGTTCCAAACTGAGGTCTCATTCTCTGCTCCTTTATGTCAATACCACTGTGTAATTAAATTTATTTTTAAATTCCACAGTATCTCTTAACTTCATAACCAGAACTTCAGCCATGAATCAAAGCAAAAGAATCTATATAGAAATCTATATTTCTTAATTGACATTTTTCTGAAGTTCCTAGTTCCCAAGGAAATTGTTTCTACTCATCTTAATTTGCTTAATTTTGTAGAAAAGGTAAATGTAAAGTTGATAGACCTCATTTATTTAACTGGAAAGGCAGATAATGAAAAGGAAGGCAGAAGCTGAGGTTTGATGGCTTATAGGAAAAAACTCTGTAATTAAAGATATAGAGTGTGCTAGCATAAGATTTGAATGCAAGTAGAATAGAAATGTATAATTAATATTTTTGGTGTTTATTTGTATTCCAGCTGGAATAAGAAATATTTGAATGGCAGAATTTTTATTTTTATAAAATCTTATGCTACAACTGGCATAGCTTTTCTTCCACCTCAAATCTAAATTTCAAGATTACTGACTGACAAGTTATGTCCATCTAGTAATAAGTAAGAAGATGAATCAAAACTGCATCATTTAAAAATAAAAACCTGGTGTTTAAGTTGCATGCAAATACATGCATGCATTTACACAGAATTAATACCATCACATTATTAGCATTTGCTAGTAGATTCTCAGTGTTGTCTTTTTCTTGTTTTTCGAATATATAAGACCTTGGCTCTTGGCCAGTTATTTTGATGTCTCCAGATTGTTGCTTTACTGGTGGAGTAAAGCTGGCAGAGGGCATAACCGAGATGTCTGATGGATTATAAAAGCCTTCAGTTAAATATGTCTGGTGTACCACCCTGTGGCAAAATTCTGTTATTACATATGGCAGAAGTAAAAATAGGGATTGAATCTTTTCAACTGGACAGCTAGGATGCATTTTAAAAAAAAAGAAATGAACAAGAGCAACAAAAAAGCATGCAGATTTGTGAAGGACTTTGTAGCAATTTCCTGTAACTTTATTTGACAGGTGGTAATGTAAAATTTTAATGTAAGATTTTATGTAAAAAAAATTTTAGTCTCTTTTATTTCCTGTATTTTATTATCAGACATCTTCCAAGATAAAGCTTGATTTCTCAGCGTATTCCCCTGGTGGGTATGGTGATATTAGAATGGTATAATTGGCTTCTCTGCAATAGTGTTTGGTTCTTGTCCAAAAGAAGTCTTGTGTGGCAGTTCAGACAATATGTGATCGTTTCCTACTCTTCTTGGGCATCCAGAGGAAACCACACTGAAAGGAGACCTCGTTCCAGAAATATTCGTATCCCAAATGGTTATGCATTAATGCGATTATAGCTTTTGGGATTGTGAAAGCGATGTGCTGGCATCCTACCACACCAAGTTATTATAACTGCTACCCATGTGCAATAACTGATAAACTATTGTATTTGTGATGTAAATAACACAGTGATGATTGTTCAAACTAATTTAAGCCAAATAGGAACGTGTTCATTTCAACAATACAGCTCTACATGAAAGGCAATTGTTAGACTAAAGTATTAGAGATTAAAAACTGGGATACTATAGGTTACATGATTAATATTTCTGCAGTAGACTGATGTAACTAACCATTTAATATATAGCCATTTATTTTTTTATACTATTTCACCCAAAGTGCGAGTACTAGCATCCTCATGTGAATGTATCCTGTATAATGCAACATCTGAAATTATTTTGGTGTGCAAACCTTAAAGTTCAAATCTAATTTCTGCATACATAAAATGAATATTCTTGTATCCCTGTATATATTTTTTAATCCTTTTACAAGTTATTCTTGATGTTATGTGAGATTTGTAGTAAACTTAAACGTGTGCATAATCTGTAGATTGGCCTTAGTAGATTATGGAATCTATGGCAGATGGATGGACAGCTGTCAGAGCAATATAATTTAGCTTCTTATCTTATTTCCATTGTGGACCACCGTCTGTGTCTGCCTTTTGTAAATGTGTACTTTTAGACAGAACAGCTAGGAATGGTGTGCAAGAGTAAATTCAGTGTTAAGGAAAAGGTATGTCTTCAGAGATTTACCCAAGTGAAATTATGAGGAGAAAGTATATTTAAATTAGTGTCTGTGTGCATGTAGATATTGTGCATGCAAAACATCTGCATACACAATAAATACATATATGCCATGCATATCAATTAAATAAATCTCTTTAATCTCTTTGCTCTATCTATGGATGATTTAAATTTAAAAAAAAAAATGATATGATGATAGATTTTTATGAAGAATCATTTGTTGTCTTCAAAATGTTATTACAGTGGTTCTATCTCTGATTCAGATTAACTCTAGTCCTGTATGTTTAACATCTAGCACCTTTACTGTGTAGCTTAGGACCTCAGTCCTGAAATAAATACCACTGTAGGAATTGGGATGAATCATTTCCCCTTTTGTTTATGGATTATTGAGGAATTAACAGCATATCAGGTGTTGTTTCTGTCAGATAGATGGAAAGGTTCCTCTTGTTGATTTTCCTAAAGCTCAAGCATTGGGCCCAGGTGGACTAAAGCTGCAATAGATAACACAGGAACAATAGTTAGCTGAGGGCTGAGTACGTGTCACGGAGTTAACTAGGTCAATCTATGCCTGTGACAGGGGGGCATTAGGACTCTGGCAGCCCTCCCCCTCCCCCACAAAATGGGAAGGAAGAAAGGAAAAAATAGCTGCAACAATCTATGGAGGAAAAGTTATTTTACTAAATATGATATCGGAATGCAAGATAACACAATATAATACAATCTAATTGAAATTGAAAGTAATAAATCAAATAAGATAGGAGAGAGAGAGATTTCCTGAGACTGAGTCAAAACTGAAAAGCTTGGAACAGCTCGGAAAGCACCCTCCAGCACCCACTGCTAGGCAGTATGAGACTGCCCCACTTGGAAGGGCCAGATCCCATGACTTCTGTAATGTATAGGGATAGGTACCTGGAATTGGAGCATTGACACTTTAACTCCCACTGCACTACAAGATGTTATGAATACTGAAAACCAAAAAACACAAAACCATGACAGTATGCAAGTAAATAAAAGAAAAAAAATAAAAAAGAACCCCAAAACAAAACAAAGTTTGCATCAGTAGTCAGTGATATATTTGAATATGCTTACAGAATGTACTGGATTGAAATTATATCTATGTTTCAGGACAGAGTTTTGTTGCTGTAACTTTACTGATGAATAAAAGAGGGTCAGAGAAAACAGCTGAATGGCTGATTAGCGATGTTCCAGATTGGTCACAAACTTTCTCTGGACTGTGACTTCTGTCACCTCAAGGCAAATTTTGTGTGTGATTTGACAGCCCACACCAGAGGTGGCTGCATCTTTGAAAATGGCTGTGTGGGCTACTGAACAGTCTTTGCATTTTCAGACACTTTAAATCTGAGAAAGTGGGAAAAAGTTAATTGTTCTGTTTTAGGACTTTAGAGGTCCAAAGGAAACAAGATCCTTTTTTATTTATTAATGTAAGTGCAGTAAGCATCTCTTCATCATGTTAAAAACAATGTAAACTTGACTGTAAAGCTTAAGAGCAAGAACACTGAAATTCAAATTCCTGGTCCATACACTTTAAACAGACTATGAATTGAAAAATAGTATCTCTTCACAAAGTCATTTCTCCCAGTAAATATTTCAGAGCATTTCTGAGGGTGGGAAAATTTCCTAAAGAGTGGATGTATCAGTCTCTTCAGTGATTTAAGTAATCTCAAGTGGAAAATGAGGATCCTGAATCTCCTCTCAAGAGGATGCTAGTGCATCCTTGGTGATTGGCATGACACTGATGTAGATATTATCTACATAGCCAAGAAGAGAATCCAGCCCTGGAGATTTTAATCAGAAGCGAACTGAAAGAAAAAAGGGAGAGGAGAATCCTCCTGTTCTTTTAGCACAGAAGTAGGAAAGGTTTCTAATGTGAGGCTTATAAATATATTGCAGAAAGAATGCATAAAATATTTTTTATCAGTCTGTGAATCATGTTACAGTTCATTTCTTGTGAATAAGAAGAAAGTGCATGCATTGGTATGTACTTATTTGCTGCCCAGAAACTGGTCAGCAAATTTACTGTTGATAAAGTTCAATAACGTTTTTTTAATATTTTCCTTTTTAATGTCATGCTTCAAATACTGACACGATAGTAAAATTACTATTCCTTGGTGTTGAGGCTCTGACTCTTTCAACAGATAAAAAAGCTCATAGGACGCTGAGCTAGAATTCTGCTCTGGTAGCATTTAATAACTAGATGAAGCTAAGCAAAAGAGAAAAAGACTGTCAATCTTTAGACGAGATGACCTAGCAGTGTAGAGCTTAAAGATGAGGTGCACAATGCTATAGGAATTAGTCTGTCCAAAAATGAATACAAATTTGTAGATTTAATGTTCCCATGAGGTTTGCACAGCTGGTGTGTAACGCTTGCTGCCTCCACACATTCAGATCATCATCATCATCTTATTGAACAGACCTTACAAATTAACAATCCATTCTGCACAGCTGAAGTACTGTGGGATGGAAACAGTTGTGTTAACTAAAACAAAAGCTCTCATTATAAGAGGAGATTCAAAACAAGCATATTTTGTTTTATATTTAAACTAATTTTTATCACTATCCAAAAAACAAACCAAACTGAATGGGAAGCATTAAGATGGTACGTGCCATCAAGGCTTGCCCTCAATGAATTAGAAAACAGCAGTAAGGGAAGAGGAAACTCACTGTGCTATCAAAGGTCTCATATTTACTATTAGTTCCTAGGGGTTCTAAGGGACCTCTGGAGATCATTTAGTGCAACTCCTCTGCTAAAGCAGTTGCCTAGAAGGTTGTACAAGAAAGCGTCTAGTTGGGTTTTGACTATCTCCTGAGAAGGAGACTCTACAACCCCACTGGGCAACTTGTTCCAGTGTTCTTCAGCCCTCGTGTTCATATAGAACTTCCTATATTCCAGTTTCTGTCCACTGCCCCTTGTTTTGTTGCTTGGAACCACTGAAAACAGCCTTGTCACACCCACTTGACTCCCACCCTCTAGATAGTTATAAGCATTGATAAGATCCTCTCTCAACTGAATTTCTTCTACAGGCTAAACACCCCCAGGTCTCTTAGCCTTTCCTTATAAGGAAGATGCTCTAGGCCCCCATCATCTTTGTTGCCCTCTGCTGGACTCTCTCTAGAAGTTCCCTGTCTTTCTTGAACTTGGAAGACCACTGCCAGACACTGCATTCCAGATGTGCTCTCACCAAGTCAGAGTAGAGTGGGAGGATCACCTCTCTTGACCTGCTCAATGAATGGCAGCACAGCCCTCTGGTGTGTCACCCGCTCCTCCCAGCTTTGAATCATCAGAAAACTTGCTTAAGGTGCATTCTATCCCTTCATCCAGATTGCTGAAGTTGTTGAAGAAGACCAGAGCCACTAACAATCCCTATGGAACTATCTACAGACCTCTATCTGGACTATGTGCCATTGATCACTATCCTCTGAGCTCTGCCAGGCAGCCAGTTCTCAATTTATCCCACTCTTCTCTCATCTATTCCACAGCTCCTTAGCTTACTTATGAGGATGTTATGGGAGACAGTGTCAAACACCTTGCTGAAGTCAAGGTACAAGTCTCCTCTCATCTACCCAGCAGGTCACAGTAGCACAGAAGGCTAACAGATTGGTCAAGCATTATTATTATCGCCCTTTGTTGAATCCATATTGATTTCTTCTCTTCCACTTACTCAGTGATAATATCCAGAATAAGCTGCTCCAGTACCTTTCCAGGGACAGAAGTGAGGCTGACTGACCTGTAGTTTCCTGGGTCCTCCTTCTTGCTCTTTTTGAAGACTGTAGTGATGTTAGCTATTGTCCAGACTTCAGGAACCTGTCTGTTCTCCATGACCTACCTGAGATGATAGACAGTGGCTTGATAATCTCTTCTGCCATCTTCCTCAGCATCCGTGTGTGCATTCTTTTGGAGCCCGTGAATTTGTGTGCATTGAGTTTTCCTAGGTGATCTCTGACAATATCCTCCTCGACCAAGAGCAAGTTTTTCTTTCCCTAGACTCTCTCTCTTATCTCCAGGATCTGGGATTCCTGAGGGTCAATCTTAGCAGAAAATACTGAAGCAAAGTAAGTGAACTAAGCATTATTATTTTTTTCTACTTTACAGATACATAGCATCACTGATCTTAAGTTATGGCCCTCAGGGCAGTGCTAAGTCTTAATGAAATTCCAGCTTCCTAACAGTTTTGTGGGTTTTGCTGTGATAACTTTATATTTTAGATAGCCTTTAACTCAGAGTTCCCCATTCTGAAAGCAACTCGTTGATATGAAGGGGTTTCCTGATTGCCTCAGAGCTTTTAAGTCATTTGATCTTGTGTTCAGTCTCCTTGGTTTGTTCTTGGAACATCTGTTTCCAAAATAGCTGGCACAGTAAGGTTTAGGAGGATTGAGTATCTAATCACATCATGTCTGTTCTCCATGATTTTAAACACTCACAGGTCATCTCTGATTAAATTAACACAGTTTCTTCTTTCCTTTTTGTGTCATTCTCTAGAATACTAAATAATTATAGGAAAAACAGCAAACAGTATATAGTAGTTGATTCTGACAACTTTCTTTTCTATTATCAGAAAATAATATAACAGCAAAGATCTGTACTGTTTTTGAGTGGTGTTCAACCTGTAATATTTAATCTGATTTTGCTCAGATTATGGAAAACAGGAGTAGTACCAATGGCCCTTATTTTAGTAGGCAATGTATTTTTTTTTTTTTCCCCTCATGTTACCTTGTAACAACATTTTTTAATGCTGGACTTATTTAATTGTCTAAATCATGTTTATTTTTTATAAAGATCCGGTGAGTCTTTTGTGCACAGACTAATAATCAAGATACAGGAAATAACTGTAAGCTGTCCTACCCCCACTGCTCCCAAACAATTAAAAAAAAAAAAAAAGGCACAAAAACCAACAACAAAAAACAAAGCACGTTCCCCTGTGAAAAACTTTCTGACATGAAGTCTTTCATCAGGCTGGTGAGAAATAAGAATTGATGTCCTTCACAGAAAAAAAAAAAAAAAAAAAAAAAACACATTTATATTGAGGACATACAGAACGTGTGGTTAGAAATGGTCAAACCTGAAAATGTACACTAATTTGTTCTGTCTAATGATTTTCACTAAAAGAATTAGTAACTTTCCCTTTCCCTTTCATTATTTTCCCCTTAAACCATTTTTGTCAAAACTTGTAGTGTGAAAGCCGGGCACTATCAGTGAACATACCACACATCACTTTTGCTTCCAGTGTGCTTACACAGTTATATTTGGAAGTATTTGTCCTTCCATGGACCATATTGGCTGGAACTCTTAGAGCAAACAAGACCTGTGATGTAGACTGTTTTGACAAACTACAGTGTCTTAAGTATTGACATAAAGCAAAATAATTCTCATTCTTATGTTAATTATTATATTGATTAAACATAATAAACAGTAGCATTGGCGATATTATTTATGTGTAGGAGGACAGTACACCTTTGCTGTAGGTAAGTATCTCAGTTTTACTGAGTGAAGTTGAAGTACAGAGAAGCTAAATTATTTGTCCAAGATCTTATGGCAGACTCGGCAGTGAAAATTAGAATCTGCACACCTGGAGCTGTAGGTGGTTGTATCTTATCTGCAATTGTTGGTACAGAGCATTGACTTCAGGGCTAGGATAGGAAACAACTGCAAGAGGGAAATGGTACACTGCACTCAATTTTCCAGTCTGGGATTTGCACAAGGAAAATGTACTCAGTGCTTGTTAACATTCATAGATTTGTAATTATATTATTTTTTTCCCTCTTCTTCTTTATTTGGTCAATTGAGTAAATAAGTGCTGAAGTTTATCCTTCCTGTGGCTTGAGATGTTGTCTGATGCCTGCTCCATTTTTTTTTTTTCCTCCTTCTGTGGATTGAAATGTCCTCAGGATTGCACCTTTTTCAAATCAAGACTAGATATCCTGTGTAGTCCTCATTGTCTGGCACTTCACCAGTTTCTAACCTAAGAATTTTGGGGTGTGTTAAAGAATGTAGGAGACAGATGGAGGCAGCTAAAAGGTCTCTAGGAAAGTAGCAGTAGGCAAGCCATCAGATACGCATAAGACAGCTTGCATTCAGATAAGTGTATTTTGTTTTTCAGTTCCTGATTTAGGTCATATAGAATGGCTGTTGCTGTATGGTACTTCTGGGCTTGCTGAAACACCTGGCAATGGCCACTGTCTGGCTTTGAGCAAGGAAAGTTGCATGCTTGCTGCCACTTCCACCATAGCCCATCTCCATCTGAAAGCCAATTCCAAAGGCTCTGTTGGGGAACAAGCCACAGCACTTGATCATCCTGCTTTATGTTTCAGAAGACGTTACAGACTTTGCTTTCTAGGAACTGCCATGCTCCCTGTGAGCAGCAGTGTCATCTCTGCTCCCATTCTTGCTACCAGTACGGGGGCTGGGAGAAGATGACTTGTGGCTGGTTGCTCGGGGACCTAACAGGCCATGACTGCACTGCTGTGCCTGCAACACTCGCTGGGAGCACTTTCTGCAATGTCTGAAGCTGACAGTTACTTGCTTGTCTCAGGGGTTTTTAAATCCTACCCTCAATATGCCAAGTCCAGTCTCGCTTCTCAGGTTGAGGCTGTCGCCATGTCTGTACACACGTTTTTGAGTCTCTCAGACCTCAGCCATCACAATTGTGAAGCAGTCTGCTCTCAAGCAAACCATGTATGGTGGTCGCGTCCTCCATCCTAATTCTTGAAGGCTTCATTTTGCTGACTGGATGATAATCACCACTGGTAGTAGCAGTCTCAATAGGTTTATGCACAAAGTATCCTGAAGCACTTATCTCAGGGGATGACAGACAGACATAACCTTTTAAGAAGCTGTTTACCTGGCTAGTTTTTACTAGCTTTACTAGGCTTTGATGTATATTGCATAGTATGGATCCAGTCTGGCAAGCATTTATTTACAGGTGATTTTACCCACCTGTTTGTTAAAAGAGCAATTGTGTTTCCTTTAGAAGCACCAAAATATCCCTTATAAAGAAAGACATTGAGTCACTCGTTGTTTATGCTTCTCAGTAATAATTTTAATATGTAATTTTTTCATGTTGTGCTGAGTGGATATACATTTACCATCTTCTGTTTGGGCAATATCAATAAACAGCGCATTAACTTCTTTAATAACTGATTTTCTGTCTTATGTTTTCAGAGGCAACAATATTAAGCTATGATGGAAGTATGTTTATGAAAATACAGCTCCCTGTTGTGATGCACACAGAGGCAGAAGATGTTTCTTTACGGTTCAGGTCTCAGCGAGCTTATGGCATTTTAATGGCAACAACTTCCAGGGAGTCTGCTGATACCCTCCGGTTGGAGTTGGATGCGGGACGAGTAAAACTAACGGTCAACCTAGGTAACAAACTCTTCCTCCAAGAAGTTAGCATTTTCTTTACATTTTTATTTTTGCTTGCAAACATTTACGAAACAGCCTGTTTTAACATTAAAAGTAAACTGAAGCAATATATAAACACATGTCAGCGCAACATTTGCATATGCACACACGCACACAAATGTGTCCATTATTTTTATTTTTATTTTTTTTTGCATTTTTGTGTTCTTTATATAGTCTTAACACACTCCATCACGATATTTTTGTACTATTGTGTGTTCTAAAAAGAGAAGACTAGTTCATCAGTGGCTCTTTTAGGCTAAAATACTTCATTGTGGAAGATTGGTCTCCGTCCTCAACTTCTCCACAGTGTGAGTTGCACAATTTAAACAGATAAGCTGTTTAAAGAAGCAGCAGAAGCTAAGAAGCAACATGTATGTAGGTCAGTTCAGTTTTATATCCACCAACTAATATACAACATACATATGTACCAAAGAATATCTAGTTTTAACAAGGAAAATGTTTCATTTAAGTATGTTTTCCACTGATGGATTGCTTGGTCTCCTTTTTTTAGCCATCCAATCTATGGTAAACCCATCTTCTCTTTTTTAAACAATTCTGTGGTGATATTTCTGTAGTATCGAACAATAACACAACCCTTCAATGCCCAAAGACTGCGGCCCTCAGCAAACAGCCATGTGAACACAAGAGGCACAAACCCTTTTACAGAAGAAAAACAAAGAAAAAAAATATATTGGTTTTGTGGTTGAAATATGGATAAAATGTTAGGTTATCATTTCCTCTAGTTAATTAGTAAGAATATGAATAATGATGAAATCAGAGTGCTTTTGGTGAGAGTCAGGATTCGAAGGAGTACACTTAGGAAAGGTGCACGTTCAGTGAAGTCAGCCACGTTCTGTGGAGAGATCTTTTGACAGAGCAGTGTAGCTATAACCCCGTTATTAAGTAACCGCAGATAAAACGATTCCTAGGAAGCATGCAAAACCTCACCTTCCCTTCGGCTTCACAAACCAATCGCGCCGGCTGCGCGCTGTCCCGACGCCCTGCTCTGGCAGCGCGGTGTCCCCGCGTCCTCCTCTCCCGCAGCGCCCCCTAGTGTCGCGCCGGGCTCCTGCGGCGAGCAGAGCGGCAGCGGTGGCTTCTGTAGCAGGGGGTGTGCGGCGGTTGCTCCTTGGCTGTTTGCGACCACTTTTCTGATGCGGTTGACGACACATGGCAAACTCAGCTATATGGCAACAAAATCTAGGTTTAATGGTGTATCTGTTCCTCAAAGGTATAAAGTGGGAGTAGATGTACGAACCAAGTCGGCTGATGTAGATGTTTATTTTTTTAATGCGATAATAAAGGCAGCCAACACAGTACAGGTTAGGTCATTTTTTTTATATAAAAAACAACCCACTTCTTTCAATTTTTGCCTGCTTAAATAGTTGAAGAAATCCATGTATTAATAATATAATTTCTTCTTGCCCTTCCCACCATCTCACCTTTTTTCCTCCTTTATTATTTTTATTATTATTTTAAGGAAATAGTTTGAAAATAGTGTTCTCCAATTATCAGTTTACTGATGTGATCATTTTCTCCTTAATGTAGCTTTAAACGCAGTAACTTGCCATTTATTAATTCAATACTTTAAGAAAAAAAGATGTGGAAAGCCCTATTTGTAGGCCTAGGAAATTGGCTTTTCAGTTTGCTATTCAGTTGTAGATCAGCCTTTGAGGTATACTATACAAGAGCAGTCCAAGGTGTCTGACTGAGGCTCGGCTTGCTCTATGACCCATTGTGACGGAGCACTTTCTAATTGCACTGAGAGAAATTACCTGTTCTTTCACAGATGGGGAAAAGGTTGCAGCCTGCCTCAATTAAGCATCTTTGACATTTAATCTGAATTTTTCACTTAGATTTGTCACCATGTAGCTTTGTTTGAAATTGGCCATTTTTACCCTATTTGTCGTTTCTATTTATAAAGATTTATCGCAGTATATCTGGGTTATAACAGTATGTAAAGACTGATGATATGGAGTGGCCATTTTTGCATGTGTCTGTCCCCGGAAGGGTGGACTGTGATTTTATTGGATGTCTGCAGCTATTACCTTGAAGGATAAATTTTCATTTTTCATCTATTCTTCCCCATCTAGACTGTATCAGGATTAACTGTAATTCCAGTAAGTGCCTATTCAAACTTTTTAAAATGTTATTCCACCATTATAAAATATGCAAACTAGATGAAAATGATTGTGGACAGTTTGCAAGTGCTTGATAATTTATTAATGAAATGTGATGATTAATTATCAATGTGTAAAAAGTCATCATATACACTAGTGAGCATTTTGTGTCCTTCCTATATAACTTCTAATTGGAATGTTAAGAAAGGAAGGATTCTACCGGCTGTAAATGTGCGCAGTAAATTCTACATATATGGCACAATACCTGTAGCACTGTATTCTCCTATCCAGCTATTTTATTGACAGTATCTTATCAAATTTCTAACATTTCTGATGAGCTGTCGTATCTTCTCCCTCTGGTCCTTTCCCTAGTTCTCTTGACATTTTGCCTCCAACCCATGGTGATAATGTAAGAACATAATTGTACACAGTACGAGAATTTCGTAATCTTCCTAGACAATTAACTGTATTAGCTGCCTGCTTGTGAAACAATTGGTTTTGCTAAGCTTTTTGAGAACACAGTATATTACAGTAAGGACATGATTAAGTCTGAGAATAACTGCACTTCTATGATGATTTTTTACACTCTAATCATGTAAGAAAATTTGAATTGAACATTTTTTTTCTGTGATGTGCATGTTTATGAAACAGAGGGAAACAATTGCCAGATGAATGGACTAAATTTTAACTTCTCTGATATTATTTGGATTAAGAGGCTATATTCTGAAAGGAGAAAAAGGACTGTGATTTTATTTTGAGTCTATGGAATTCCTGAATGGTGTCAACAAAAGTATTGATAGTAAGTATGGTAGATTTGAGTTTTGGGTTGTTTTTTCTTTCCCCTTCCAACAGGTTTTGTAGGGCAAGGATTGGCTTTATGCAAATAAAAACAAAACTAAACAATAAACTTAGAGGTTAGAATTTGTAGTGTAAATAGTTTCCCAAAAGTCATCAAAATAACCTCCCCTAATAGCTTTATAGTCCTCAAATTAAAATAGAGGTTGCACTAAATTGGATTGAAAAGAAAAATTCTTTTGGGGCAGGTTTTTCATCTCAACCATGCTTAAATCCAGACAGACTTTTCAGTACAGTAAATGTTTGCATGACCAAGGCACGAGGACAGTTTTGTTGTATAAAGGTTAAAAAAGTTGCAGTTCCTTTAAACTGTTCAGTTATAAAGATGAATATGTCCATTAATGTCCACTAAGATTATGACAACATTTAGATGGTTTCAGTTGTAGGATTGTTATTTTTCTCTGGATCGAGTCACAGTTAGAGGAAAAATTCAAAGTATAAAGCAAACAGCTTTTTAAACAGAGACTTAATGAGTAGACCTGCTGCTGCTAAATAATTTTTTTTCCATAGCAAAAGCAATAATTCTCATTTCTTAAATTCCTTAATAGAATCGGAGAATTCTTTTCAAAAGGGATAATGGGGGGAAAAATGCTTGTACAGTCACAGCACAATAAATCAATAGATCAGTAGATGATTGGCTTTTATTTCTAAATCTCTTTTGAACAAAATGAGTTTTCATGAAAATAAATTAAAATATTTTCCAGGATACATTTTCAAGTAAATTTTAGATCAAAAGAATGTCTGAAAATACGGAGTAAGTAATAAGCATCTCATTGGAGGATTGCAAAAAGCAGTGATATGTTTACTGCATTGAATTAGCAGTTATCATCTTGGTCTCTTACAAAAGCAGCAGAACTTCTCTATAAAGTATTTTTGGTATCAGATACTCATAAACTACCTTTCTTTACAGTTTGTTTATAGCTTTGTTGTTATTAGAAATGAACTTCCATGGTTAGTTCCATCTCCATTTATTGCTTGCGTACTGAACAGATTTCTGTGAGCTTTCTGTACCTGTCATGGTAAGTACTGCAATACTTTCTTACCAGCATTCACTGCAGTTTTTTCACAAACAGGTAATGTTTCATAAGCAGTTTCTGTGCTTTAATTTTTGGTTATGAAGAATTATTGTGCTGAGCAGTCCTTAGGAGATGCTTTCTTGTTAGACAATGTACTGGATTTCAGTGGACCACATAATTCGTTTTAAAGCAACAGTATCCAGAACTTGAGCCTCTTATTTTGTTATAATCTACAATCATTCAACAATTCAAGCTCTTTGTGGGTTTCACTCAGTCCACTGAGAAGTGGATATGTATCAGTCCTGTTTCTCACATTTAGAGAAGCTTTTTTCAGATTTTTGCCTTTCTGTTGCTTAAAAATCTTAATGTAATTTCACTGATGGGAATGAAATACCATTTATTATAAATAAAGTGGCAATCATACAGCTAAAATCAGAGTGCAGCTTTCTGGTTTGAATTTGAAAGAAAAGCCTAAAATATCAATCAAAAACCAGTATTTTGTCCAAGAGACAAAAAGGAAGAAAAAGCGCCTAGTTTCCTACAGCAATATGCATTACTAGTGAATAAGCATTGCACCTTCTTTTCTCCCTTGAGTGTAGCCTGAAAACTATCTTTTGTTCACTGCAGATCAAGTGAGCAACACTGTTGGCAGGTCAGAGCTCAGGTTGTGGCAGTGATTTGCTCTACACTTTGTCATGACTTCACCTTTAGCTAATGTCATGTGTTGCAGAAGAGGTGGCATTTTGTGGTCTTCCTTGTATGAAATAAAGACTTTTTAAAAAAATTTCAGAATGTTAATAGTATCTCAAGATACTACTAAGCTAACATCTGTTTAAAAATATTACAGAGACTGTTCATGCCATGACAATTTTGAGGAACTGAGTAGCATAAGTCAAACTTTATTTTCTGCTACATTAAAATAATGTTATCTTTATAAAACCTAGAAACACTCACAATTCCTTCACATGTCAATTAGAAAATACCATTCCTGAAATGTTGATTTTGTTCACCCTGAAATCACTTTGACGTGTTCTTCAGACATTCAAGTTTGCAAAATAAAATTGTCAGTTAAAAAAATGGAATAAATGGAGCTCTTAAACTGCATGTAGATTTATGTCAGTGTTTAGACCAACACTGCAAGGAAAATGTGTGGAAAACTACTGTATGGCTACTGTTGTTTCAAGTTTTGTTTATATGTAAGACAGAGGCGAGTGATGCTGGTTCAAATAGCACAAATCCTTCACATGTAGGGTTGCTTGGCATTAGGTGTTCTGTACAAATAACTCTTAAGTTGATTACTGTACAGCTCTCGTATACAAAACTAATGAGCTAATCTTTAAAAGCTACCTGCAGAGAAATGCTTGAAAGACCATAAATTTCTCCCTTGTTAAGAGAGAGGTAGTTTCTGTTCAACTTTGGGAGACAAACGTTGCATAATGCAATGCTAATTTAAATATTCAACACTTATTTAGATATTCAAATCTTAAGTGAATTCTATTACACCTAATACAATGCTCACTTTTCTCCTTTTTTACCCATGCTATTTTAAGATCTAATCCAACATGTATTTCATTATGTTCTGAAAATGCCATTTAAGTCATTTTCAATACAGCTCATAGATCTTGATCCTTTATAAATGACTCTGAGTTTCACACGGATTCAGGGTTGCATTGTTTCCTTTATAATTTATGCTTTATAGTATGCAATTAAAAGAGCAGTGAGTTCAGATGTACTGAATCAATTTTTTTCCTTGTATGTTTTTAGAAACAGAATTTCATCCTATGAAATTTACATGACAAGCATAACAGATTTTGAATGACTAGTGAGCAAATGCAAGTGTGCTATATGTCCATATTTTCACTCCTGCTGCGTTAAGACCTACTATCTTGACTTAACTATAATGCCCTGTTTTTCTAGTTCTAATGCTTCCAAAACTGTATCACCTGAAAGTTTCTGGGCACCTGTAACTCTTGAGGCTTCCCATTTTTTATGCACAATGCACATTTTTCACAAGAGTAACCATCTTTTGTAGATTTTTCTGCATTGATGTTATTTCTGAAAAATGTATCACCTATATCTCTGTGAATGAGCAGAACATGGCCAGGGGATTTATATTAATTGATATAGTAAATAATTTTAACTGCTGAGTGGTAAGGGACTGATTCTCATTTCTGGATCAGATGCTCTTTTTCCAGTATGGAAAAAATTGTGGTAAATTTTATTTTTTCCTATTGGATGCTGAAAAATTGTTTAAGTGATGGCACGCATATTGCATGGCAATTACAGTGCCTGTTCAATGCTACACAGCTTTTCTTCTGTAGGCTATGGGAGTAACTCCATCAATTTCCATTTTTACCCAAATGCAGGTCTGTTAGAAATGACTAAGAATGGCAGAAACAAAGCAGTGAGTACTTTGCCAGCATACGTGTATACTTCAGGGAAAGTCCCAACTTGCTTTGCTAGCTGGGTGTCTGCCTCTCCAAATTAGGAGAAATTTCCTGAGCTTTGAGGCCTTTCTCTCTGGTAAAGTGCCCCTTCTCTTGTTGAGTTTATTTGCACTCCTCCTTCTGTCTACATAGTAACAATCCATTCTCCATGTCCTTTATTTTTTTTCTATTTTATTTTTTTTCTATTTTATTTTATTTTCTCACTATTTCATTTCTGTTTTTCCCTGTAGTCCTCTCTCGTTTCTTTCATTTGTACCATCTTTTCTGTACTTGCATATTCTGCAGAAGTGCAAACTCCGTATGAGTAAGTTATTCTGGAATACCTCCCTTCTATTACTAAGCTTTTTTCTTGTAAAAACATCCTACAAAACCAAAGCATGTCAAGGAGCTACGTTAGATTATCCACAAATAACAGGAGAATTACTTGTTGAAAAGCGAACAACAATGTTTAAGTGCAGCATATTTTCACGCTACACATAGGTTTGGTAAAGTGAGAAGTCTTTAAATGAACACCCTGCAGCCTTTTGAGCTCTAATGCTTGTAAGAATGCTTTTGGTAGCAAAGTCCAGAGTCTTCAGCTGTGCTCTTGTGGGTATTGCAAATTCTACTTCGATCAACAAATCGCTGATAAAAATGCATTAACTTCTCACTCTCTGGTGACAAGAACGACTAGAATATTATT